TTAGGTTGCGGTGGAAATCACGGAGTCATCCTAAGGCCATTCAGCTACAATTCCCTGCAGCCTTAGAAAGGAAAGATAATGGTGAGGATACCGGGAGCTACAGGCCAACATTTGGAGTTCCACGTGAGCCCCACGTTTTCAATGAATAAAACAGGAGATTTTCTTGCAAGGTGAGCAACCCACCATACTTACACTGCATACTTACAGTAGTATGATTTCATTTAGGCCGCCACTGCAACGTTCTATGGAATCCTGGGATTCACAGAGATACATCCTATGAAATGCATAGGGGCCATTCTCAGTCACATAGCTCTAGTGCCTTACTGGACTATAAATCCCAATATTTTGTAGGAAGCAGCTGTGCCAGTAGAAAGAGGGAGCAAAGCACTGTAATGGTACTGGAAAGGACAATGAATATTGGTAAGTTTCCTCTTGGCCTGCACCACGCAATGTCCAGCAAACAAAGAGCCTTACATGATACCAGTCAGCGAGTGCTGAAAAGCAGGAGATTCGAATGGCCCCAATCCCCTTGCAAAACCCCATAGAGTTGGAAGGGGTCCCAAATAAGGCCATCCAGTCCAACCCCTTTCTGCCATAATAGAAAGATAGAATGCTAGAGATGGAAGGGGCCCCAAAGAAGGTCATCCAGTCCAAGCCCCTTCTGCCATAATAGATAGAATGCTAGATGGAAGGGGCCCCAAAGAAGGCCATCCAGTCCAAGCCCTTTCTGCCATAATAGATAGATAGATAGATAGATAGATAGACACAGAGAAAGAGAGAGATTCATAGATAGACACACACACACACACACACACACACATATATATATTGATGCATAAATAGACACATAGATATATTGATGCATAGATAGACACATAGATATATTGATGCATAGATAGATAGATAGATAGATAGATAGATAGATAGATAGATAGGACAGAGAAAGAGAGAGAGAGATTCATAGATAGATAGATAGATAGATAGATAGATAGATAGATAGATAGATAGATAGAGATAGATAGATAGATAGATATAGATAGATAGATAGATAGATAGATAGATAGATAGATAGATAGATAGATAGATGATAGAGATAGGACCCCAAAGGCCATTCAGTCCACGCCCCTTCTACCATAATAGATAGACAGATAGGTAGGTAGGTAGGTAGGTAGGTAGGTAGGCAGGCAGATAGATTCATAGAGATAGAAATATAGATATATTGATGCATAGATAGATAGATAGATAGATAGATAGATAGATAGATAGAATACTAGAGATGTAAGGGGCCTCAAAGAAAACCATCTAGTCCAAGCCCCTTCTGCCATAATAGACAGACAGACAGACAGACAGATAGATTCATAGATAGATAGACACATAAATATTTTGATGCATAGATAGATAGATAGAGATTCAAAGATAGATAGACACACACACACACATATATATTGATGCATAGATAGACACATAGATATGCATAGATGCATAGATAGACACATAGATATATTGCTGCATAGATAGATAGATAGATAGATAGATAGATAGATAGATAGATAGATAGACAGGACACAGAGAAAGAGAGAGAGAGATTCATAGATAGACACATAGATAGATAGATAGATAGATAGATAGATAGAAAGACACAGAGAAAGAGAGAGAGAGATTCATAGATAGATAGACACATAGATGATAGATAGATAGATAGATAGATAGATAGATAGATAGATAGATAGATAGATAGATAGAGATAGATAGGGCCCCAAAGGCCATTCAGTCCATGCCCCTTCTACCATAATATAGACAGATAGATAGGTAGGCAGGTAGGTAGGCAGATAGATTCATAGAGATAGAAATATAGATATATTGATGCATAGATAGATAGATAGATAGATAGATAGATAGATAGATAGAATACTAGAGATGTAAGGGGCCTCAAAGAAAACCATCTAGTCCAAGCCCCTTCTGCCATAATAGACAGACAGACAGACAGACAGATAGATAGATTCATAGATAGATAGACACATAAATATTTTGATGCATAGATAGATAGATAGAGATGGAAGGGGCCCCAAAGAAGGTCATCTTGTCCAAACCCCTTCTGCTATAATAGATAGATAGATAGATAGATAGATAGATAGATAGATAGATAGATAGATAGATAGATAGATGCATAGATAGATGCATAGATAGATGCATAGATAGATGCATAGATAGATGCATAGATAGATGCATAGATAGAATCCTAGAGTTGGAAGGGGCCACAAAGAAGGCCATCCAGTCTAAGCCCTTTCTATCATAATAGATAAATAGATGCATAGCTGGAAAAATGGATGGATGGATGGGATAGATAGAAAGATAGACAGATAGGTCAAACATTATTTTCATTTTATTCTAGGATAGAGGCATCTTTTTTTTCCCCCAACAAAGGAATAGGGGATGAAGGAAGGAGCTGGGAACCATAGCTGAAGTCCATCCAAGCTGTACTTTATATTTTGTAATCTCTCCACAGAGAAGGCTGGGGGAATTCTGGGTATTGTAATAAAAAATCCAGCTGAAAGACAGGTCTTCTTTGCAAGTCACTTTTCCAACAGCAACCCGCTGGAATATTTGAAAACCTGACAGTGGAGATCCCAGCCCAATTGCAGGCTGGATCCCTATCTCCCAGCCCTGGGGGCCTCTCTGTCAGCCTGGCGCCTGAGCATGCTATGCCTTCTGCAGGATCCAACTCTGGCAGTCAAGTTGGAAAAACAAGAGAACAACAAAAGCATCAGCCCAAACACAGCACGTTCTTAGCGATCCTGCAGCGTCCAAAACAAAAGGCAGGGATCAGGAGGAGAGGCATCTCATTCCCTAACTGAATCACCCGGGTGGCTGCAGTAGTTCCAGTGGAGGCCAAGATGGCTCAGACATCAACATAGCAGCAACTTCGCTCTGGATATTTAGTCTGGACTTTACAGCAGCCACCCAAGGAACCCAACCACTTTGGGGAGTGGCATTTGGCACCTCAGCTTTGTTTTGAGTCTTCAATTCGCTATAGATGGCCAGCACAGTGTAGCGATTTGAGCGTTGGACTCTGGAGACCAGTGCTCAATTTCCACAATGGGAAGAAGGATGGGATCTGTAGTCCAAACTATCGAGAGAGCCCTTGGTTAGGAAAGGACAAAGCTATCTACTGATAGACTTTTAATCCATTTAGCCCATTAAAGCATTCCATCAGTAATTGGGATAATATGTCCCTTACTTACTTAATTACTTAGGCGATCCCTCGTAGTCCGAGGATGATGGTCCTCCAAGAGTGGTATCCTGGGGGTGGATCCGTAGGTGGCTGCGGAGCCCTATTCTTGATCTGCATCGTCTCCCACAGTGAGGGTATCGGTTTCCAGATGGAAGGCAGTCCTGGTCAGGGTTGGCTTGACGCCACTTCTCCACAAAAGTCAACATTGACACCGAAATTCAACACTCCTGAGCTCTGCAAGTGCAGCATTTTCCAGAATGAAGCAGAGAGTGTTTGAGGACCAGGACATCCGTAGGGATACCAAGGTGCTTGTTTATAAAGCTATTGTCCTCCCAACCCTGCTATATGCCTGTGAGACGTGGACTGTCTACAGACGTCACATGCAGCTCCTGGAACGTTTCCATCAGCACTGCCTCCGGAAAATCCTGCAAATCTCCTGGGAAGACAAGCGGACAAACGTCAGTGTGCTGGAAGAAGCAAAGACCACCAGCATTGAAGCGATGGTCCTCCGCCACCAACTCCGCTGGACCGGCCATGTTGTCCGGATGCCCGACCACCGTCTCCCAAAACAGCTGCTCTACTCCGAACTCAAGAACGGAAAACGGAATGTTGGAGGACAGGAAAAGAGATTTAAAGATGGGCTCAAAGCCAACCTTAAAAACTCTGGCATAGACACTGAGAACTGGGAAGCCCTGGCCCTTGAGCGCTCCAGCTGGAGGTCAGCTGTGACCAGCAGTGCTGCAGAATTTGAAGAGGCACGAATTGAGGGTGAAAGAGAGAAACGTGCCAAGAGGAAGGCACGTCAAGCCAATATGTCCCATTCCCTGAATGTTGTTAGACTTGAACTCCTAGCAGCCCAGGCTGCCTGGGGTGCGACACAGTGGAACTGAAGAAAGTGTTAACTTTTCTAAGTGTTAATCTATTCTGTTTCTGTAGCTCAGTAGTGCACAACCTGCAGCCCTCCAGGTGTTTGGGCCTCTTTCCTTCTTTCCTTTGCTTTTTGCTTCCATCCTTCTCTCTTTCCTTCTTCCCTTCCTTCCCTCCCTCTTTCTCTCTTCTTCCTCTTTCTTCTCCTCTTCTTTCCTTTCTTCTTTCTTCTCTCCTTCTCCTTCTCTTTTTCTCTCCTTCTTCTTTTCTTCCTTCCTTCCTTCTTTCTCTTCTTCCTCCTTTTTTCTTTCCTTAGCTTATCATCATTTAGCTTTTTTGGGGTTTTAAATCCTTTCCGCTGTGGGGGTGGGGGGGTTATGAGTGATGGTCACTCATTGGCCTGTTAGGGGTGTAGTGTCCAAATTTGGTGTCAATTCGTCCAGTGGTTTTTGAATTATGTTAACCCCACAAACGAACATTACATTTTTATTTATATAGATTTTCTTTGGCCCTTTCTTATATGTGTTTTATCACTAAACTGTTTATTACCATGTCTGGCTTCCTGGTGAGTGCTGTGAGCAAGGTGAAGCCCTGCAGAGGTGCAACAGTACAATCCTGCCAACTCCAGAGACTGAACCTGTGCCCTTTGGTAGGAGCGACAATCACACTGCCTGCACGAACCAAAAGAAGAGGGGCCAGATATCCATAGTGGATCATCCTTAGACCTCCCAGCTCCATGGCGATGCAGCAGTTCAGCCTCTTTGCCTGGCCTTTCCTGCGTAACCAAGACTGGAGTGTGTTTCTAGTATGCCTTTCTGCACCCTTGAACTGGGGCCATCTCTGCGCAGTTGAGCACTCACTGTTACAACCTCAGGGAACAGCCAGGAAGAGAGAAATAAAATCCATTAAAAATGACATTTATTTTGGCCTGGTTGGCGCAGGGCGGGGTGCAGCTCTCCTTCCCCGAGTGTTTGCTTTGAAAGCAGGCTTCTTAAAGGCACAGGGTTGTCTAAATAAATAGCAGGCATTGTTGGCTTAGCCCCTGCAAGAACTTTGATCTTGGGTGAAAAAAGAAAAAGGTTGCAAAGCCTGAGATAACATGGTAAGGCTTGGGAAGGGGGAGAGGAGGGAAGGGATGGAAAAACAGGGATGGGAGGAACAGGATGAGGGGAAGGCAAACTGGACTCTCCCACCGGCTTCTCGCTCCATCACATTTTGCTGGACTTTTGCAGGATGGTTTTAAAGGATTCCTTTGGCAAAGAAATCCTTTTGGGTTCCTCAGATGTGTCCCAACAGGAGTGTTTATTCCAGCCCTGTGAAAAACACAAGGAGACAAATGCTAAAGGCAGAGCTCATTAGACCCTTGCATGCAACATTCAAGCAAAGCAGTTTAATATGTCATTGAAGGCTTTCATAACCAGAATCACTGGGTTGCTGTGAGTATTCTGGACTCTGTGGTCATGTGGGTTCATATACGGAGATGCGGTCAGGACAGTAAACAAACTCAGAAAACAGGGGAATTCCCGACAGGAAGCTATCAGGGCTACCTAACACCTCCCAACAAAGGATTCCCCCAGACAGAAACCAGTCAGGCTTTGAAGCTGCAAGGTCATTCAAGGTGGCAAATTACAAATTCACACTTGCCTCAGACAAGAACTCTTTCTCCCACCCTGGACATTATTCAACAGATATATAAACCCCACTTGCCTCGGTTCCAACAGACCCCTCAACCTCTGAGGATGCCTGCCATAGATGTGGGCGAAACGTCGGGAGAGAATGCTTCTGGAGCATGGCCAGACAGCTCAGGAAAACTCACAGCAACCCAGAGCAAAGTTTCTTTTGAGCATGGGCAAAGTGATTCCCCGTCTTTCCTGCCACACAAATGCAGCTTGCCCACACATATTTTGAAATAAGGACAATAGAAAAGCTTTCAGTCATTTCTACTTTCAAAATGCAGCCCTGTCCTTCCTTCATCATAGAACAACACCCTGCAAACAGAATCCTCTCAACAACAAAAAATGGTTAAGACTTTGGGAACATGAAGGAGTTGGATTTGTATTTATGGGAGGAATGCCCTCAGTTTGCCCCCTTCCAAGGCTGCAAAGCTGCCATATTAGCAAAGGAATCCCCAAAGGTAACTTGTCCGAGCTGCAGACGCGTTTAACAACCAGCCGAGTCTCCATATGGCTTTTGCCACCTCCCACTCCTTGGCAGAAGGCACATCCACTGGGAGTTTCTCTTAAGCAAGACACATTTGTGTGCGGACGAGGACATGGTCGAAATTTTGATTGCAAGACCCACTTTGATTTGACAATTTTACAAAATATAAATAGTGGTCTCTCCCTCTCTCTCTATCTATATATATACACACACGCACACACTCGCTTGGGTACTCAGCATTGCCCAGATTATTTGAAAAAGTCAATTTTAATTGTCCAAAATGCATAAGGTTGTGGGTGAACTACAACTCACATCATGCCAGGTTAACCCCGAAAAGTTCCATCACTACTTAAAGTATGTTATGTTGCTCTAAATGCCATCATCGGTGAGATTCAGCATGTTCTCTGGCTGTAGGATAAACTACAACCCCCACTATGGTGAGTTAGTCCCCTCAGGCCCCCCAGTAGGTTGAGTTGGTCATGGGGGTTCTGTGTGCCAAGTTTGGTACAGGTCCGTCATCAGTGGAGGTCACTGTTTCCCTGGTTGTGGGTGAAATACAACTCCCAAAAAGGAAGTTCAGTCCCTGTCACCCCCCAAACCCCTCTAGTAATCAAATTTCAGCATATCAGGTATGTGTGCCAAGTATGGTCCAGATCCATCATTGTTTGGGTTCACAGTGCTCTCTGGATGTAGGTGAATTACAAATCCCCCAAATTAAGGTGAATTTTCCCCAAAGACCTCTAGTATTTTTTTGCTGGTCATGGGAGCCAAGTCTGGTCCAGTTCCATCTTTGGTGGAGTTCAGAGTGCTCATTGATTGCAGGTGAACTATAAATTCCAGTAGCTACCCCTCCAGGCCAATTCCCCTCAAAATCCACGAGTATTCAAATTTGGGCATATCACGCATGCATGCCATATTTGGTCCAGGTCCATCACTGTTTGGGTTCATCGGGCTCTGGATGTAGGTGAACTACAAGTCCTATAAATCTCTCCAAAGTCCTCCAGTATGTTTTGTTGGTCATGGGGATTCTGTGTGCTAAGTTAGTTCCAGGTCCATCGTTGGTGGAGTTCAGAGTTCTCTTAGATTGCAAGTGAACTATAAATACCAGTACCCACAACTCCTATAAATCATGGAGAATTCTCCCCAAACCTCTCTAGTATGTTCAGTTGCTGATCAGTTCCTCTGTTTGCTATGTGGCATAGAAAATAATACGGAAGGGTTACGGGAGAGGCAGAGGGTCATGCAAATTCCATGCCAATGGGGAGAATCAGAAACACTGGGATGTCTGTGGTGGAGGAAACACATAAAATCTAGGATGGCATTGTCCCCACTTGGGTGGTGGGCAGTATGGTGTTTATGGAGGGCATTGGCAGGGCTCTTGGACATGTTCATGGTCCTCACTATAACCTGCAATGTAATTGGAGGGAGGGTCCTTGGTGTTTCTTGCCTGTTGGGAGCTATAGCTGTTTGTGGAGGCAGGAGCTTGTCTGTGTAAGCCAGGGGTCCTCAAACTAAGGCCCGGAGGCCAGATACGGCCCTCCAAGGTCATTTATCCGGCCCTTGCTAAGGGTCAGCCTAAGTCTGAAAGCACACAACAACAACAACAACAACAATCCTATATTATCAGCCAAAAGCAGGCCCGTGCTTCCTATTTAAATACTAATATTTATTTATTTATTTATTTATTATTTACAGTATTTATATTCTGCCCTTCTCACCCCGAAGGGGACTCAGGGCGGATGACAATGTACATATACACGGCAAACATTCAATGCCGTTTTTGACATACAAGACATGTTCTGTCGCGCGCTGGGCCTGTAAAGAATTTCCTTCAGAACAGGACATGCAACCCTTGCCCAGCGGGAAGCCAGGGGGCCCAAAGAGAAGCTCTTAGGAATTTTCCACCACAAACAGTCTTTAGAGGGCTTGTGAAATATAACAAAGTCTTTTATTGAGTAACAATCAAACAGAAACTTTTCTTGCCTTCAAAAGGTTAAACAAATGCTTCCAGGCTTTTGTGCAACTGGTGGCTACTAACTGTTACTTTACTTTAAAGGAAAATCCCTTTCTAACTTCTCCCAGGCTGACTGTGAACCTAAACCTAACTGATGTGGGCTCCACTACCGGGTTGAACTGCGTCTCAAAGCACCGAGTGGATCTACCAGCAAGGCCTGTAGTCTCTTCAACTGAAGTTCTTTGATATTCAAAGCTGTTTTTCCCTCCGAAATTCCTCAGAGCTTTAGGGCTGTTTCCCTGGGAATCTTTGGATGCTCTTAAGACTGTTTCCCCCCGGAAAGTCTTAAGGGTTGAAGCTTTTGCACAGGAGAAGCCTGTACACATCCTGTACATTAGCTATCCTTGCTGAGACTGACCAAAATGATTCCTATCCCTCTCAGAGCCTGAACAGGGGGCAGAACCAAAGCTTAAGATGATGGACAGGTGGCCTGCCCTATAACTGCAAGCTTTAAAAGGAAGCCACCCTTCTGCAGAATCCCAAGCCTTGGACTGCAAGCAAAGTTTTAATGCAAAGCAAATAAAGCTGGAGCTTCTGGTACGGCCGTACCAGCATAAGACATACAGACAGACAGAGGCCATTTCAGATGCTTGAGGTTGCTCGATTCGGCCACAGGTTTATATTTAATAAATTCAACAATTTTAACAAATATAAACTTATTGTATATTTTAACACATATATAATAAGTTTATATTTGTTAAAATCGTTTTTCATTTTAATTATTGTATTGTTTTTAAGTGTTTTTTGCAATACAAATAAGATATGTGCAGCGTGCAGAGGAATTCATTCATGTTTTTTTAAAATTATAACCCAGTCCAACAACAGTTTGAGGAACCGTGACCTGGCCCTCTGTTTAAACAGGTTGAGGACCTCTGGTGTAAGCGGACACTCCAGCCACATGCACACATACATATTTTCACTTTTATTTTGTGAATGGGGGAACAGTATTAAAGTTGTTTGGCTTCTCTGCTATATGCTGGTGGCAGAAAAACTGTTGTTGTTTTTACTGTTGTATTTGGGCTCAGCCTTTTGTAAGCTGCACCGAGTCCTCCAGGAGATGGTAGCGGGGTACAAATAAAGGATTATTATTATTATTATTATTATTATTATTATTCTATTCTGTCATTCCAGCCCCATACGACTGACATCCCCCAAGCAGCAGTTGCATCCTCCAACTGTCCAGCTCTGGCTTATTGGATTAAAAGGGAGCCCAGCCACCAGATCAGGAAGAGAAGTCAACTCATTAAATCTGGGTTACTAATTAGCTGGGCAATCAGAGTTCTGACTCCAGTTGATGTCAGCACTCTAATGGTTCCAGTTTCCTGTCTGCATCCCTCCAGGCCTTTCTAGGTCAGTGTTCCTCAACCTTCTTAATGCCGGGACACCTTAATGCAGTTCCTCATGTGGTGATGACCTCCAACCATAACATTATTTTTTGTTGCTACTTCGAAACTGTACTTTTGCTACTGTCAGGAATCGTATAGTAATTTTCCGATATGCAGGATGTATTTTCGGTCACTAGACCAGATTTGGCACAAAAACCTAATATGCCCAAATATGAATACTGGTGGAGTTGGAGTTGATTTTGTCATTTGGGAGTTGTAGTTGCAGGGATTTATAATCAAAGAGCATTCTGAATTCCACCAATGATGAAATTGAACCAAACTTGGCACACAAAACTCCAACAACCAACAGAAAATGCTGGAAGAATTGGGTGGGAACTGACCTTGAGTTTGGGAGTTGTAGTTTAGTTACATCCAGGGAGCATTGTGGACTCAAACAATGATGGGGCTGGACCAAAGTTGGCATGAATACTCAATATGCCCAAATGTGAACACTGCTGGAGTTTGGGGGAAACAGACCTTGACATTTGGGAGTTGTAGTTGCTGGGATTTATAGTTCACCTGTTAGAGACCCTAAATTGGGTCTTCTTAGCTCCACATCACGGGAACACGAAAGGAAGGAGACAGTCCCCCAAAAAGATAAAAAAACAAGGTTTGTTTTAGTTTCTTCATGAAGAAGACAGACAACCTGGCGGCATACGCAGATGCTACCCTTCAAGTGACTGCCGCGTCCCCTTGGCTTTTGACCACCGATATATAACCTCAAGTAAACAAGAACATTTTTGGCCTTGGAAAGTACTCTCCTTCCAYCCCCCTCCCTTGACCTTTTGATGGAAAGACTCTGTGCTTAACCACAACCTTTGAACTTAACCACAACACAACTTCCYACCTCTACATGTCACATCTTGTTTCTTAAAAACATTTTCTTCCATGTTGCTCTTTTTCTACAGAGAAAGGGTATATTTCTCTTTTGCTGTTAATTTCATTCAAAGCCCCTTGCTTAGCATTTGCAAATTTCACTCAAAGACCCCTTCACACCTACAATCAAAGAGCATTCTGAACCCTACCAACAATAGAATTAGGCCAAACTTCCCACACATAACCCCCAGGCCTTGAAGGGGCTCGCTGGCATGAGCCTCCCTCCAGCCTTGCATGCTCTCCCTCACCTGCACAGCCTTCTCTGACAATAGAATTAGGCCAAACTTCCCACACATAACCCTCCCCTTGGCTGAGAGGCCAGCCAATCACAGCTGAAGAGAGTTTTTAGTGGGACGATTCACTGTCTGTTTCCAAAAAGAAAGAGAAGGACAGGCGGAGAGATCTTCAGCCTGACAAATGGGTTCCTAAGACCATCAGAAATATGTGTTTTCTGATGGTCTTTGGTGACCCCTCTGAAACCTCCCTTCCTGGGGTCCTGACCTCCAGGCTGAGAAACACTGTCTAGGCCTTTCCTATAAAATTTGAGTAAACAGCCCACTAGTATAACCTTCTGTGTGCCCTGTTTATTGAGTAATGGGATATGGAGAGTAACAACAGCAGTGCTATTCCAGTTTGAATAAAAAGACGTCAGCTTCAGTCTCCCAACTGGAGCAATTGGGTGGCATCCTTCTGTCACTTGCTGGCTAGAGTGGTGGGCCCCTCTAGCCACGGGGTGCAGGGAGGAAGGGTAGTGCTTGCCTTGATGAGCTCTCTGGCTGCTACGGTCAGCTCCCAAATTCCCTTCACAAAAGCAGCTTATCCCCTGTGAGGCCCTTTTCCGGCAAAGCTAGCTGGTTAACCCCTTCTCGCTCCTTCTCCCTGCTGCAATCAGCACATTTTTGGCTACACAGAGGTTTAGCACTAGACCAGGCGTGCACTCGATCTGCAGTGGCGTAGGGTTACAAAAGGTGAAAACAGACGAGGACTCCTGTGCACTCAATATTGATATTTGTTGCGGTTGTGTACCTTCCAGTTGTTACTGACCTGTTGCAACCTGAAAGCAAACCTATCACGGAGTTGTTGTGAGTTTTCAAGGTTGTCTATCCATGTTCCAGAAGCATTCTCTCCTGACGTTTCGCTCACAACTATGGCAGGCACTCTCAGAGGTTGTGAGGTCTGTTGGAAACTAGGAAAATGGGGTTTATATATCTGTGGAAGGCCCAAGGCAGGAGAAAGAACTCTAGTCTGTTGGAGGCAAGTGTAAATGTTGCAATTAATCACCTTGATTAGCATTGCAAACCTGGGGCACAACCTGGGGATCACAACCAGACACAGTGAAGACATCTGCCCTTGTGCTATGCTACTCTGCTGCTGAGTATGCATGCCCAGTGTGGAACACATCTCACCACACTAAAACAGACATGCCGCATTATCGAGGGGTGTCTGCGCCCTACACCACTGGAGAAACTACACTGTCTAGCCAGTATTGCACCACCTGACATCCGCCGGGAAGTAGCAGCCAATAGTGAAAGGACCAAGGCAGCGACATCTCCAGCTCAACCTTTGTTTGGGTATCAGCCAGCACGTCAACGACTTAAATCAAGAAATAGTTTTCTAAGATCTACAGAGACACTCACTGGAACACCTCAGCAAGTGAAAGTGTGGAGAAGAGCAAACTACAGACTACCTGCTGCATTGCAACCTCAGCCCTGCCACATGCACAATGGAGGACCTTCTTGCAGGCAGGAATCAGCTAGGCCTTGAAGCTACAAAGCCATTCAATGCTAATCAAGGTGGCCAATTGCAACATTCATACTTGCCTCCAACAGACAAGAGTTTTTTCTCCATGAAAATAAACAAAATCTTGCTTTTTGGGAGGCAACCTATGCTGGACAGGGTTGCAATCCCCCTGAAGTCACAGGTCCGCAGCTTGGGGGTCCTCCTGGACTCAGCACTGACACTTGATGCGCAGGTGTTGGCGGTGGCCGGGAGGGCCTTCGCACAACTAAAACTCGTGCGCGAGCTGCGACCATACCTCGTGAAGTCTGACTTGACCATGGTGGTCCATTCCTTAGTTACCTCTAGACTGGATTACTATAATGCTCTCTACGTGGTGCTACCCTTGAAGACGACCCAGAAACTACAACTTGTCCAACGCTTGGCAGCCAGATTAATAATTGGGGCTAATTATAGGGAGCGCTCGATTCCCATGTTTAAGGAGCTCCACTGGCTGCCATTTATTTTCAGATCCCAATTCAAGGTACAGGTCATCACCTATAAAGCCCTAAACAGTTTGGGACCCACCTACCTTCATGACCGCATCTCACCCCATGTACCAACCCTTTGATCTTCAGGAAAGGTCCTCCTTTCACCCCTACCAATTTCACAAGCTCATCTTGTGGGTACAAGAGAGAGATCCTTCTCCTGTGTGGCTCCCCGACTTTGGAACTCTTTACTTGCTGAGATTAGGAAAGCCCCTTCACTAGAAACGTTTAAAAAACAACCTTAAAACCTGGCTCTTCCACTGTGCCTTTGGTGAGTAGGTGCACACCATGACATTTTGCACCCCCCAACGTTTTCTGCTACTGGGTCGCGCACCCTCCAAATGGGAAGTTTAGCCCAACAACTCTATGTTTTTATGAATTCCCCGTAAATGTCCTGCTTCTATTTTACCTCATTACAGTCTTTTAATTGTTTTATCCTGTATATGCAGCCCGCCCATTGTTATCGTTACTGTGATTGTCTTTATTAGAATGTTATTTTATGATTGCCTTTTTTTCTCTTTTTCTTCCTTCTCTTATGTAATTCTGATGATGTTGCAGTTGTTTGTTGTTTATGTTTTGATTTTATTGCTGTATTATGTTGTCCGGGCTTGGCCCCATGTAAGCTGTTCCGAGTCCCCACTGGGGAGATGGTGGTGGGGTATAAATAAAGTTGATGATGATGATGATGATGATGATTATTTTGCTACCAGTATTTAAAAACATTTCTTTCAGTCCTGCTATCTGGCAGGAAGGGTGAGTTCTTGGAGCTGATCAGGAACTTTTGGAGTGATGGCTTGGCTGCCTTTCGCTTTGGGGGCAGGGCATTGTGCCAGGCCTGGCTCTGGTCAGCCTGATCCCTTTTCCAACTTCTTGTCCTGCCTTCTGTCAGCCATGGGCTTCCTGCCAACAGCAGGGCCAAGCATATAATATGTGATTAGCCACAGACAGCTGGAAACAGAGCCACAGTTGCCAGGTTCTCATTTCTTGCAGGGCTGACTCAAAACAATGGTGTCTTGTACTGACAGGTGGATGGGCACAGGTAGATGCACACTCCCACAATGGATACATGTGCAAAAAAAGTTCAGTAAAGTGTGCCTGTTGTCTCCTGCTTAGGCAGGTAGGTCCCAAGGTCCCACAGAAGCTACTTACCTGCAGGGAGGGTGGTCTGCAGCCAGCCCCGGGTCAGAAGCCCCTGCCATTTGATGTAGGTGCGGGCTGCCAGGTCCTTGAGCTGCGTCCGGTACATGAGGCGGGAGTCCTCTCGGATGGTGGCACTGATGTGTTGCTGCAGCTGGATGCAGAGCTTAGAGAGGGTCCTCTGTGGAAAGGAGCGGGTGGGAAGAGCAAGGGGTCATAGATGAAGTAAGAGAGGCAAGTGAAGACCCAACTACCTTCGTGATCGCATTTCCGTATATGAACCCACACAATCACTTCGCTCATCTGGAGAGGCCCTGCTCACGATCCCACCTGCTTCACGGGCGCGATTGGTGGGGACGAGGGACAGGGCCTTCTCAGTGGTGGCCCCGCGACTCTAGAATTCCCTCCCTAGGGATATCAGACAGGCCCCAACATTGGCAGTCTTTAGAAGGAGCTTGAAAACGTGGATGTTCCAGTGTGCCTTCCCGGAATAAGGAATCCTTAGCAATATGTCCTTAATGCACTTTACGAGAGACTTAGAATTGTCTGCACGTCTACCTATCCCAAAACCCTTCTCCTATCTCCCTTGAACTCCCCAGTTTTTAACTCTAAATATTCACATTTGGCCCTGCCTCATGTTTTTAAAATGTGTTGTGTTATTACTGTATTGTTTTTGCTTTTATAAGTTATTCATTGTTTTGTTGTGGTTGTTTTTTGATGTTGTGGGGCTTGGCCTCTTGTAAGCCGCACCGAGTCCTGCGGGAGATGGTAGCGGGGTATAAGAACAATAAATAAATAAATAAGACAACGAGAAGTTGCTTGAAGTGGAGCCTAAACTTTAGGGGAGGCATCCACCCCTACTTCCCACCTCGTAATCTAGGATCATCTGGGGAGGCCCTGCTCTCGCTCCCGTCAACAGCACAATGCGCCTGGCGGGGACGAGAGACAGGGCCTTCTCGGCTGTGGCCCCCCGCCTATGGAACACAGTCCCAAATGAGGTAGGATCCACTCCCTCCCGCCTGGCTTTTAGGAAAAAAATTAAAATCATACTCTCACAACCACCATGTCAGACTACACGGAGAAGCCATTGAAATACACAAGATGTGGACAATTTCAACAGAAAGGAGGAAACCATGAAAATGAACAAAATCTGGCTACCAGTATTAAAAAAAACTCTAAAATTGCAACAGCATAACAACAGAGAGGAAGCAGGCAGGGACATCTAATTACCTCTCAACAAAAGTTTGCTCCAGGCATAGTGAGCCCATTGTATGCTAATCAAGGTGGTCCGTTGAAACATTCACACCTAGCTCCAGCAGACAAGAGTTCTTTGTCTCACCCTGGTCATTCCACAGATATATAAACCCTTTTTCCTAGTTCCAACAGACCTCACTACCTCTGAGGATGCTTGCCATAGATGCAGGCAAAACGTCAGGAGAGAATGCCTCTAGACCATGGCCATATAGCCTGAAAAAACCTACAACAACCCAGTGATTCCGGCCATGAAAGCCTTCGACAATACATTATTATTATTTCTGCGGTCACCTGGGATTGCAACATCAATGATCCACACTTGTTTTTCCCCCCACAGTTGTGAGGTCAGGAGTATTTCTTCATCCAGTCCATGTTGCTGAGGTTGAGGATGGCTTTCTTTTTGTGAGTAGACTCAGGCAAAGAAGGCATTAAGTAGTCCTGCCTTTTCCCTATCCCCTGTCATCTTCTCCTCGAAGATATATCAGGGATGCACCATAGTTAACTCCGAACCGTGAAAGTTTATAATCTGTTAGTCTTTTAAGAAGACTACTTTCTCAGCCATGAATTTCACACAGCTGCCACTTTCAAAATTAAATGTTATACTTATCTTTTTCCAGGGCATGTTCTGCCAGGAAATTGCGCAAGTCCCGCTGAAATTCATGGGAGATGTGCAAAAAGGCTGTATGTAACCTCCTCCTGCTCATTTCAAGCAGGAACACTTCTCAGCAGGCAGGGCCCTTGGGAGGGAATTTTTAGCTTTCATTTCTAACCATATGCCATGCAGTTGGTCTGGGACAAATTAGGCCCGGGAGTGGGAACTTTCAGTTCTTTGCATGTTGTCAAATGGATCGAAGTGGGCAAGTGCTGTGAACAAGGGCATCTTTCAAGACTGTGAACAAGAGCATCTTTCAAGACTGTGTCATATGTGAGGCAGACCAGCAAGCACCCCACATTTCACACTCTACAGCAGTTCATATACAGAAGCATCCAGCCTCTGAAAGAGAGCCATGCTGACAAGTTGTTTTCAGCAGCGTTACTCAGTTTCATTGAGCCCCCAGTGACACAGTGGGTTAAACCGCTGAGCTGCTGAACTTGTTGACTGAAAGGCCACATGACCTTGGAGGTGTCTAGGGACAATGCTGGCTCTTCGGCTTAAAAATGGAGATGAGTACCACCCCCTCGAGTCAGACTCGTCTAAACTTAATGTCAAGTCCCCAGGGCCAGATCAACTACACCCAAGAGTATTGAAGGAACTAGCGGAAGTCATTTTGGAACCATTGGCGATCATCTTTGAGAGTTCTTGGAGAATGGGAGAAGGTCCAGCAGATTGGAGGAGGGCCAATGTGGTCCCAGTATTCAAGAAGGGAAAAAAGGATGACCCAAACAACTACCGTCCGGTCAGCCTCACGTCGATACCAGGCAAGATTCTGGAAAAGATTGTTAAGGAAGTGGCCTGCAAACACTTAGAAACAAATGCGGTCACTGCTAATAGTCAACATGGATTTATCAGAAACAACTCATGCCAGACTAATCTGATCTCTTTTTTCGATAGAGTTACAAGCTGGGTAGATGCGGGGAATGCCGTGGATGTAGCGTATCTGGATTTCAGTAAGGCCTTCGACAAGGTCCCAGAGGAGGGTGACTAAAATGATCAAGGGTCTGGAGAAGAAGCCCTATGAGGAGCGGCTTAAGGAGCTAGGCATGTTTAGCCTGAAGAAGAGAAGGATGAGAGGAGATATGAATGCAATATTCCTGCTTCTTGGCAGGGGGTTGGACTGGATGGCCCATGAGGTCTCTTCCAACTCTTTGATTCTATGATTCTATGATTCAAGGGGAAACCTTTACCTTTACTTAGTCAGTTTCAGCATGCAAAGGAAAAAGGGTCTGCATTCAGGAATGGAATCTAGTAGTATCTTCAAGACTTACCAGCTATCATCCTCTGTTATTTGACACAGGTGAGTGCACTGTATTGGCCATGGGGAATTGCCTATGTTTTGGACACTGTATTGTTGTTGTTGTTGTGAGAACATTGTTGTTGTGTGAACATCCTGCAGCTCCTCCATATGACAACAGTCTTGAACAGCATGGCTCCCAAAGTGACCCATTTTAGGTGGAATCGGGTGTCAAACAGGGATGTGTTATTGCCCCAACTTTATTCTCCATCTTCATTGCTATGATACTTCACCTTGTTGATGGGAAGCTTCCCACCGGAGTGGAAATCATCTATCGGACAGATGGCAAGCTGTTTAACCTCAGCAGACTGAAAGCCAAAACCAAGGTTACAACAACATCTGTTATAGAACTCCAATATGCTGATGACAACGTCGTCTGTGCGCATTCAGAAGAAGATCTACAAGCCACTCGAAACACCTTCGCAGAAGCATACGAGAAGCTTGACCTCTCATTGAACATCGAGAAAACCAAAGTGCTCTTCCAGCAGTCACCAGCAAATCCCTTTCCAATGCCAGAGATACAGCTTAATGGTGTAACATTAGAAAATGTTGACAATTTCCGCTACCTTGGCAGCCACCTCTCCACCAAAGTCAACATCGACACCGAAATACAACACCACCTGAACTCTGCGAGTGTAGAATTTTTCAGAATGAAGCAGAGAGTGTTTGAGGACTGGGACATCCGTAGGGATACCAAGGGGCTTGTTTATAAAGCTATTGTCCTCCCAACCCTGCAATATGCCTGCGAAATGTGGACTGTCTACAGACGTCACATGCAACTCCTGGAACGATTCCATCAGTGCTGCCTCCAGAAAATCCTGCAAATCTCTTGGGAAGACAGGCAGACAAATGTCAGCGTGCTGGAAGAAGCAAAGACCACCAGCATTGAAGCGATGGTCCTCCGCCATCAACTCCGCTGGACCGGCCACGTTGTCCGGATGCCCGACCACCGTCTCCCAAAGCAGTTGCTCTACTCCGAACTCAAGAACGGAAAACGGAATGTTGGTGGACAGGAAAAGAGATTTAAAGATGGGCTCAAAGCCAACCTTAAAATATTTGGCATAGACACTGAGAACTGGGAAGCCCTGGCCCTAGAGCGCTCCAGCTGGAGGTCAGCTGTGACCAGCAGTGCTGCAGAATTTGAAGAGGCACGAATGGAGGGTGAAAGAGAGAAACATGCCAAGAGGAAGGTGCGTCAAGCCAACCCCGACCGAGACCGCCTTCCACCTGGAAACCAATGCCCTCACTGTGGGAGAAGATGCAACTCAAGAATAGGGCTCCATAGTCACCGACAGACCCACCAGAATACTGATCCTGGAAGACTATCCTATTCGGCCAACGAGGGATCGCCTAAGTAAGTGTTGTGAGACCTTTATGGGCCAACCAAAATGCACAACACATGTCTTTTTTTAATAGTCACAGAAAGCCTCCTTCTCTACAAGGCAGTGTCTGTTCCGTATCATTCTGTTGTTCATTGCAAAGAGGATCTATGATTTGTACTGTTCCTGGCTCCAGCCCTCCTTTTCCTCTGTTTCTAGGTGCCCTGCCAGGGAGCTGACTTTGTTGGAGCGGCTGCAAAGCTGCAATTTACGCTGCCCACTAAACAGGCCCCTTTCCAGCTTTCTCCTCCACCGAGCAGTTTGGGGTTGGCCTAAAATTTAATGTACTGCAATTTTGTTTCCTTGGCATGGGATCCATTCTTTCTGGCCTGTTTCCTCCCTTCTTGCCCCAACTTACCTGATGTCTTGAAGGCACAGCTTGGTTAGTCACAACTGCGTTGGCCAAGGTCAGGAGGCTATAGCACAGGTAGCAAGCCTGGAAGGGAGAGAGAGCAAATAGAAAATAAACTGCTCAGGGAAGAGGAATTAGAGCAGTGTTTCTCAAACTTCCTAATGCCGCGACCCCTTAATACAGTTCCTCATGTTGTAGTGCCCCCCAACCATAAAATTATTTTCGTTGCTACTTCATAACTGTAATTTTGCTATTGTTATGAATCACAATGGAAATATGTGATAAGCAGGATGCGTTTCCATTGTTACAAACTGAACATAATTAAAGTATAGCGATTAATCAGAAAAACAATATGTTTGGGGGAGTAAGGACAACAGAACTTGACCTTAAGTTTTGGAGGGGTTTCTTTGTGTGTGTCAGGAGAGACTTGAGAAACTGCAAGTCTCTTCTGGTGTGAGAATTGGCCATCTGGGTAGCTTCACCTTGCTCAAGACACTACCATACACCAAGGCTGTAGGTTTTGCAGTTTATTGAGAAAAAGCAAAATCAAAACAGAGAAATAAAGATGCAGAAGTTCAATAGGGAAAGCAGTGTCTTAAATGCAATGGCAAAGTTCCCAGGATCCAAAGGCAAATAACATGAAGCATAATCCCTTAGCAATGGTCAAACAAGAGTCCATGGAAGACAGGTAAAATCAGGATCAAAATCCAAGTCTGAAAGCAGCCAGGAACGCTCCTCAAAAGCCAAGGTAATTCCACAGAAGTTAACAGGGAAAGAGCAACATTGGACTGACAAGAAATGCCTGTCAGCTACATCATTAAATAAGTTCCCCTGACATGAAAGCATTGCGTTGACCTTTGGCTTCACGCCTGCTGGCCAGACGTGTGCTTCTGCAAATTCTTAATTGTAAACGATCCTGTCTACTCATTGATTCACTATTATCTTCAAGGCTAAACAACTCATTATCTTGGCCCAACTGGGCCTGATCACTCTGGGAACCGAAAGGAGTCTCCACCTGCACTTGTGGAGTTTCACTATCTCTATCAAAAGGTACATTCCTTTCATTGGGGAACAGGCTTTCTGTTTCTGTTTCCACGCTATCAGCTCCGTCTGGAACATGTACAGGAATCTGTAACCCATCAGCCTCCTTGTCATCCTGCAGAAAGTCAGGCTCAGAAAGCCCAGCAGGCCCAGAAGGCCCAGCATAAGGCCCAGACAGTTCAGGCTCGGACTCAGGCTCAGACTGAGCCGCAACATTACCATCCTATGGGAGACTTCTCTCATGTTCCCACATGAGAAGCTAGAGCTGAGGTGGGAGCTCACCCCTCTCCCCAGATTCAAACCGCCGACCTGTTAGTCAGCAGTCTTGTCGACACAAGGGTTTAACCCACTGCGCCACCAGGGGCTGCTTTTGGAGTTGTAGTTCACCTACATTCAGAGAGCACTGTGAACCCAAACAATGACGGATCTGGACCAAACTTGGCACAAAGACCCAACGTGGACAATTTTGAATACTTGCAGGGTTTGGGGAGGATTGACCCACAATGTTGGGAGCTGGAGTTCACCCACATCCTAACACATTTTTCTAATGGGAGCATTAATAAAAACAAAGGGAAAAAGCTGGATTTTTTTCCTAATAAATACTGTTAACAAATTACATAATCTGCTTCTGCTGTTGCTCCTCCTCCTGATGCTGCTGGGACACTCACAGTCCCACGTTATGAGGGCACTTTCCCCCCTGCCTGCACATGTGCACTATGCTGCCATGCGATACCTATGATAAAATTGGGCCAAACGTCCCACATAGAACCCCATGCCTTGAAGGAACTGGTTGGCGCAAGTCTACCTCCAACCTCGCATGCTCTCCCTCGCCCGCACATGCGCACCACTTGAGCACGCCTGCTCTCCCCTCCCCTACTTGGGGTCTCAGAAACACCCCTCCCCTTGGCTGAGAGGGTGGCGAAGCGACTGGTCAAACACAATGGAGGAGGGCTTTTGGTGGCTGCCTGTTTCCAAAAAGGAAGAGAAGGACAGGCCGAGAGAACTTCAGCCTTCTCTGTCAAATATGTGTTTTTCGATGGTCTATGGTCTCTGAAACCCTCTTGGGACCCCCACATCCAACTGTGCAGTTAATGCAGTTGGATGATGATGGTGTGCCCCTTTCCTCTCTAAACAATGCTAAAAATAGTACAATTTAAAACTTAGGATACATTACAATATATATTTGAAGACTCAGAACTACCCCTTCTTATAACAAACTTGGAAAAACACCTGCCAAAAAGGATCCTTTTAAAATGCATTTTGAACGTTAACTAGAAATGTTACTCATTGTTTCTGCACATCACGGGAAAGCTATTGAACAATGTTTATCAGGTTTTGACATGCAACTTCACTACACCACATTATGTGTCGTGCTATTTTTTGACGTGTGCCATGCTTCAATCCACAGGGAGAAGAAGGTAAAAAAATGCTGTATTAATAAATAATCATAGTTATAATTTTTTTTTCCATGTCAGGAGAGACTTGAGAAACTGCAAGTCGCTTTTGGTATGAGAGAATTGGCCATCTGCAAGGACGCTGCCCAGGGGATGCCCAGATATTTTGATGTTTTACCATTCTTGTGGGAGGCTTCTCTCATATCCCAGTATGGGGAGCTGGAGCTGACAGAGGGAGCTCACCCGTGCTCTCCCCAGAATCATGCCTTTGATCTGTCAGTCTTCAGTCCTGCCGGCACAAAGGTTCAACCCATTGTGCCACCAGGGGCTCCGATAATATTAATAATACTAATAATAATATGACCAAATACACACACACACACACGCATAGCCACACATACAGTAGCAGTTGATTATTTCCATGTCAGCTCTGTGTTTAACTCCAAATCTATCTATATAATAAAAGAGAGTGTTTGTATGTGGAGGACGTAGTTGTTTGTGGTAGCTTTCTGACTGGCTGCCACTGTGGTACAATTTGCATATGGTCTCTGATTGGGCAGCCTCAACATTCCGAGGTAGCACAGGGAATAGGAAAGGGGCCTGAAGCTGTCAGGAATGGTTGGAGTTGAAGTCCAAAACACCTTGTGACCACACAGCCCGAAAACCTCACAACAACCCATATGAGAAAATTGACAACTGAATTTAAGGGTTCATCAATATGGTGGAATTAATGCAGTTTGACATCAGTTTAGATGCCATTGCTCAATGCAGTGAAATCATGGGATTTGTAGTTTGATGGGGCATCAGCGTTCTTTGGCAGACGAGACTAAATACCTTGTAAAACTACATCTCCAATGATAATTTAGGGCATGTCCTAGTTATACCCTACCATGTTCATGCTCAGCATTATTTTTTAAATTTTAAATTATTACATTATTACATTTGGCCCGGCCATAGGTTTTTAAATGCTTGTATGTTATTGTTATTGTTTATTTTTGTTTTGAAATTTATTTTACTGTTTTATACTGATTATTTTGTTATTGCCTTCGTTTTATTGATGTGCTGTGGGCTTGGCCTCATGTAAGCCTCACCGAGTTTTTTTTATTATTATTATTATTATTATTATTATTATTATTATTATTATTATTATATATCTACACTGCCGAATTAATACAGTTTAGTGCCACTGTGCCTGCCATGGCTCAATGCTTTGGGGCCCTGGGAATTGTAGTTTGTACCCTCTTTGGCAGAAATGGCTTAAGATCTTTCAGAACTTATTCCACAGCATTGAGCCACGGCAATTAGTGGCGTCAAACTGAATTAATTCAACAGTGTAGATGCACTCTTAAGTACTGCTCAGTATCAATTCCAATCCTAATTTTGTATCCCTACGCAGAACAACCTACATTGATTTACCTGCCATTTCTTGTCACAGTGTTTAATGGATATGTATTACCTTTTAGTGCCCACTTGGTGATAATTTCTGCCGAAGGACAGTATGTAATGGAACCAATTACTAGGGTGAGGGGCATTTTCCCCCCTGCTGTAAGTCTTCAAGCAGAGGCCCGGCCAAGTAAAGCTGAGATCAATGAGTGGATGAAGATATATCTTACTTCGTTTTTTTCCCTTTCAGATTAGACAAACCGTGTCTGCAGTTTTAAGCAAACAGGGGCCTCCTGGGGAATTGCCTTTAATAAAGAAATGCTGGCTTCTTCTGTTAAGGGTTAGATGGTCAAGACAGACTTGATATTGAAGGATTTGCAGAAAGGCCACACTCCAAGTCCTCCCCGTTCCCCCGAAAAACAGTGATTACAAGACTAACCAAAGGTGCATCAACACTGTCGAATGAATTAATGCAGCTTGATGCCACTTGGAGTTCCGGGAGTTGACGTTTTTGCAAGATTTTCTCTAGCAAAGAGTGCTGCTGCTTCACCAAAAAACATCTCCCAGGATTCCATAGCACTGAGTCATGGAAGTTCAAGTGGGGACAAACTGCATTCGTTCTACAGTGTAGATGCACCCAGGAGAGACTGAGGCTGGTTTTACACTGACCATGTAATGTGGTTTGAATAGCACTAAATGGCATTATATGGTCAGTGTAGAACCCTATAAATCAGCGTTTCTCATCAGAGGGGTTGTCAAAGACCATCCGAAAACATAGTATTTTCTGTTGGTCATGGGGGTTCTGTGTGGGCGGTTGGTCCAATTCTATCGTTGGTGGGCTTCAGAATACTCTTTGATTGTAGGTGAGCTATAAATCCCAGCAACTCCAATGTCATATGTTCCATAGATGATGGTGGTTGATGGTGGTAGACCTGGTAGTTGGTGATGGAAGGGTCTTGGTTCTAAAGGGCTGCGTAGTTTGTAAGTAATAGTTTACAGGTAAAAGCAATTAAGGGTGGAGGTGTGCAGGAGATGGGTTGCAGTTGGGTGTTACTGGATTTAAGGAGCTAACTTTGAGACTTATTTTTGGGAGAAAAGTATTTGTTGCATTTTGGTGGTGGTTGCTGCTGATTCCCCCCCCCCCCCCCCCCCCAGTCTGTTGGATTTTCGGTATCCTGACCTGTCTCCTGTAATCTTGGAACCCTTGAACCTTTGGATTGGCTTTTGACTACGGTATAGACTCTTGATCCCTGGACTCTGTTATTG